GGTGTGAGGGTGTGAAGATGTAGATCAGCAGGTGTGAGGGTATGAAGATGTAGATCGGCAGGTGTGAGGGTATGAAGATGTAGAACAGCAGGTGTGAGGGTGTGAAGATGTAGATCAGCAGGTGTGAGGGTGTGAAGATGTAGATCAGCAGGTGTGAGGGTGTGAAGATGTAGATCAGCAGATGTGAGGGTGAAGATGTAGATCAGCAGGTGTGAGGGTGTGAAGATGTAGATCAGCAGGTGTGAGGGTGTGAAGATGTAGATCAGCAGATGTGAGGGTGAAGATGTAGATCAGCAGGTGTGAGGGTGTGAAGATGTAGATCAGCAGGTGTGAGGGTGAAGATGTAGATCAGCAGGTGTGAGGGTGTGAAGATGTAGATCAGCAGGTGTGAGGGTGTGAAGATGTAGATCAGCAGGTGTGAGGGTATGAAGATGTAGATCAGCAGGTGTGAGGGTATGAAGATGTAGATCAGCAGGTGTGAGGGTGTGAAGATGTAGATCAGCAGGTGTGAGGGTGTGAAGATGCATTACAACGGCTGCATTTTTACGAAGAACCCTTCGCAGGCGCTCTCGGGAAAAACTCAGGGTCCAAGTGTGAAAAGCAAAAAACATCAGAAATAAGTCTGGTCATCAAGGGTCGCTTGTCACACTGAAGGTCAATGATACCGGGCTCTTCAAAAAAACAGCCATCCTCCTACATGTTATCAAATCACACCTGATCCCCCCGTGCCCCCTTGATCAAGGCTTTTGCCCATTGCATGCCGGCATCCGAACCGAAATTTCTTATTTTTTGCAGGCCTATCCAAGCAAAGCGATGTAACAACATTGAATTGGGGGAAAGGGGGCATGCAAGTTTCTTCGCAATGACTGTGACAGGCTGGTCGTTTTTATTGAAAAATCCGGTATCCCAGTAAGATGTATTAACTACACTTTGTCGAAAAAAGGGTCCCACCACCCTTCAAATTTAGTGCACCAGATCGAGCAAATGAGTGACTAGTGCCGACATCTCCCAAGCACTCCAGCAAGTCGGCGTCGCAGGAGTCTTGTGCGCTAAAGCCGGGCAACACCTCACCAACACTTAGAATGAAGGCTGGCCGGCCGAGCATGTCAGATCTATGGAATACTTTCGACTGGAAATGCTAAAGGAAGCAATGCTGGGTGCAAAATAAGCTGCTCGGGCATTTCTATTTATCAGCAGGGGACTCCATTTACGGCACTGGGGGGCGGGGAGCGCGGATCTTGACTCCATGCAGACACAAATTCTACAGGTTCAAGGCATTGACCAACCAAATTTCAACAAATTCTGTTTCGCTCACAAATCCAACAGCCTTAAGCGTTGCTTGGACTTCTTGAGCAAACAGCAGATTCTGTTTGGAGAGGTTCACGTACTTCTCCTTGACGGTGGCAATACCATCCTAAGATCAGAACTACATCTGGCAGTGGCACAAAAAATCGGAACTTACGACGGCAAAACCTGACAATACCGCATTGGTGTATCTATCACCTCTGGGCCCAAAAAGGATCAATGAGTTGCTGCTTTGACGCGGCGCTTAGGAAACCATTTGGGATTGTGTTTGCCATGGCCATGGAAACTCCAGACCAACACCAGGTAAGCAAGCTGAAAAGCCAGCCCAGGCACCTGGAAATTGAATTCCGCAGCAACGATGGTTCGTAGAGGGTCACAAAGCATGGCCCGCTCCAAATTGAGCACCTGGACGGGTGCAGCTTCAATGGGAACAGTACCGGGGGCCCATCGCAAAAACTGATGGGTTGATCAGGCGCGTCGGGGCACCCTATAAAGCCATTAAATACTCCTGACACTGGTTCAACACCAAACGTCACAAGTTGGAAAGGTACCCGTAAGATCACTCCATTCTCTCTATTTCTTTCTTCCATTCCAATTTCCAGCGCCTTACCAGCTTGGTTCACCACATTGGCATCCTGTGGCCAACCATCTAGCAGATCTGAGGACCATCTAGCAGATCTGAGGCTCCAAAGCCTGCAGACTGTAAAAGCCTCATAAAAATGAGACGACTCCAGATGCCATGCTCCTCAGCGGCGCTTGTGAGCAGTTTTCTATTGCTGCCAATTTATTACCGCAACCAACATGAACATGATTGTTTCAGTGTGCCTCGGGGAGTTTCATTGTTGTGTTGGCTGTGTTTTTGGACCTGGGCCTGGCAACCTGAGCCTAAGTCATCAGGCTTCACCGCGCGAGATGTCTTGTTTTCTTCTGGAAGGCAAACCCGACCAAAATTGAACTTTGACTTTCATGATATAATATATATATATACAAAATATTTGCAAATATGATCACAATATTAACGCCAAAGCATCGGCAAACACCGCCACGATGTCGAAAGAGCGGCCCTGCAGACACACGTCCACAGGTGACAAGCCGTCATGGTCTTGCAACGTGACATCCGCACCTGGCAAGAAACCAGAGTGCTGTCAGCTGTTGAAGATTTCAAGATTTACACCACAGTTCCCGTCAGCAGAGATAATGATATTCCATAGCATTATATACCATAGCTGCAATATGCTACGTCCAGCCATCTTGCTGCTGCCCCAAACCCTTGAAAACGATCATCACATGGACGATTTTTTTTTAGAGCCGTCTTCCGGATCACAAGGCATCAAGAACTCGTGTTCACCCTGTATGGCAATTTCATCTGATTGAAAATTCGCGCGAAAACAGGCTGGAGTCACCATGTTCCAAGAGCAAGGCCAGCACCTGTAAATTATTTGAGGGTGGGCAACCTTCGTGGAAACTATGGACCCATCTGCTATATCAACTATATACTCGGGGTTTGTCTCTAGTTTCAAAATTTGTAATTTGTCCCGATATCTAGATACCTGATACCTGTCACACGAAGCAAATAGAAACAGTTTCTCTTGTTAAAGGTCGGCATGTGGTGGCCATTGCCAGCAACATCCCTGATGCCTGCGAGTCTTCATTCTCTGCTGCAATGTGGCAGGCTGTTCTGCCAAAGTTATCGGCCGCATCCACTTCTGCCTCCCGGTCTGTCCCAAGGACAAGCGCTGGTAACATTTCACAAGTTCCAAATGGCTTTGAAAAAATGCGCCAGCAAGAGACCCAAACAGTCGAATGGGTATAAGAATGTACCAAATGCAAGCAATAGTAGCATGGAAAAAGTGACAGATCAGCCGAGCCTAGACATTATCTTGGTTGCAGCAGGAAGTTGTTTTAGCGCAACAAGCAGCGCTATGTCTACTCATCAGGACCTCATAGCAGATCCTCATACCAGAATCTGATACCAGGACATCTAAGAGAATTTCACAAGATCGTCACACAAGGGCCTTTTTATAGAGGACAAGATCTTCACACAAGAACTTCCTGTGAGCATCCCAGAAGAACTTTCATAGAAGCACCTCTAATGCACAGCATCTTCAAGATCTTGGTGCAAGGACCTACTAGGGAGAATTTCAATGAGATCTTCGCACAAGGACCTCTACAAGATGATCCAAGGACCTCCTAGAGCCAGGATCTCTAGACTTTGACCAAAATCTTCATGCCAGGACCTCTAAAAGGATCTCACAAGATCGTCGTACATGCTGCAGGCGGGCTGACAATTTCAAGATCTCGATGCAATAACCTGCAAGAGCATCCTAGAAGAGCTTTCATACAAGCACCCCAAGAGGCAGGGTACCAAACAAATGGGAAGTCAATGTTTTAAATACAAGCAGCAGTAGCTATGGAACAGAAACAGATCAGGTTAGACACGATCGTCACTACACAGCAGGAGTTTGCGGTGGCACAAGAAGCCACTGTATGTGAGCTACGCACGAGGACCATGCAAGGACCTCTTACAAAATGATTTCAGCAGGATCTGCGCAAGATCTTCTCACAAGGACTTGTCTTCTCAGAAGGACCTGTACAAGATCATGCAAGGACCTCCTAGCGAGGATTCGCCAGGATCTCCCCCAAAGTACTGCGCCTGCCACGAAAAATGAGCCCGAGGTAAACCGGGGCCCACACTTTGTGCTGCGCAGTCGAAATGTACATGGACAACTCACAAGGATACTTTTAAGCGAGAATTTACAGAAAAAATGCTGGGTCCCAGAGGCGTACCCTGATCTTACCCCGGCCTTAATTAGCACTTTCCGTACAAGAACTCCTCAGTGTGGACACACTGTATGAGGAAAAATGTGCTATTGGACGCTTAGCAAAATCAGCAAAAGGCAGCGCCAAAGTTTTAAAAAACACGTAATGAAACACCTGAGCTAAGCTGGGCAATTGGCTCAAAAAATGGGTTGTTAATTGCTTCAGCGTGTAAAGGAACAGCCACTATAAGTTTTCCTGGCAAAACCAGTTTTTTCGACGTCGAAACCATGGCGCCCAATGTGTGCCTTGTGGTCCAACAGCAGCCTGGCTACATCAAGATGGGCCGTACCATCTATGATCTCAAGGCTATTCTGCCCGCCGATGCTGACCCTCTGACTCAACCAGTTCCTCGCCACCATGGTCGTCACAGAGACCTAGGATTGACAACGTAAAAAACAAAAAAACACTGAAAAATAAATGCGTGTATTTTTAGGGATACGGGATACCCCCAAATCATCCATTGAATTTTCGGCTTGTCATATTATAAAGCATACATTTTGGGGTAACCCCCACCTTCAACAACCACCTTATGTGTGCGATACTCACAAAGAAGCAAGCACATGTCACGCAAACCAGCACCAAATACCAAATGGAATTCTGCCATTTTCTGACTGCGTCATCCTGATGAAATATTTTCTGCCAGCCGGTCATGATTACACTGAAAGCTTCTTGACGAGGCGATGGTAACAGCAGCCCAAACATCTCCTACAATCATCCATGATGAACAAGTATGAGCAAAGGACCTTTCAAGGATTCCTTTACAGCTTGTACTAGGGCTGGCTGGCAAGCACCATCTCTTGACAAAGTGAAACATGGGGGACCGAGATCAACCGAGCAGCCAAACTGGAGTAGCTATGTTGGCTATGTTTGAGTTGAAACTTATCGCCATCCTGGCTGTCGTCCAGGCAGTGAAAGTTGGATTCTCAAACATTTGCTGGCAACAGTTGCTTTGGAACTTTCTTGCGCACATTAAGGCCAAACAATATGTAGTATATATGTATATACATAGACAAATGTGTATGTGTATATATATATACATATATATTATAATATCTATATAACTGAATATGTATATATATATATGTGTGTAACTTCAGCAGCCTATGTTTAAGGTGCCGGCTGTATCTAGATCCCATCTCCATGGCACCACAGGCACAGATCGCTAACCGCATCCCCAAGCCACAGCTTGAAGTCTGATGACGCCGTGATTCTTGGCCAATCAGCATTTACACCGACAAATTCCATGACAAGCACAACATGCACTTGGTGTCAAACAACAAAAAAACTGGCAAGGCGCAAGCGGAGAACAGCAGTGCCAGCAGGACCTGTTGTCCAAACATGCATTCAACACCAGCGCGGCAGAAAGCGAAACCAGCTTCTGCAGTTGTCATAGTCAAGAAAAATGTCTCTGCAAAACACCGCGCCGACTAGAACGAAGCAGAACCCGTGGCAGTAATTGGATGATTGGCCAGACCAGTGCCACCCCAGGGACTGCTGGAGCAGGCCACCAAAGCGATGCACGAGTGCACCAACAGGCAGAACTGATGGCAGAAAGGTAAAAGTTGGAGACAGGATCGTAGCAATGAAAGTCTATGTAGCTGTTTATTTACATGCTATTTATATGTGTATATATATATTATACATACATAAATATATAATGCATATATATATATATATTATTATTATATTATTATTACTATTATATTATTATTATTATTATTATTATGTATATCGATTATTGAATATGTTTAATTGCTTTTTTTTGGGTGATGCAGTACATTCCACTTTTCCTCAAGTTGAACCGAATGTGGACACCTTCCTCAGGTCCAGATGATGTCTATAGAAATTTGATTCAAGTGCTGCAACGCATGTGAAAAAAAGACTTGGAAGTCTGACACAAAGACATTGAAAAAAAGAAGTAGTTTGTCGCAGGATTTCACAGAGTCAAAGAAAGGACCCAGACACAGATCCTTGAGAAAACACACGCAACATGAACCCGCCACGTTTGGAAAAACAGGCGGCATTCTGTCAGCCGCTTACCATGTAGTTATATAGTAAATGCTAGTAAGAGAATATATACAGTGTACTTATATATATATATATATTAAACACATATATATATATATACGTGTGCTGTATATTTATGAGATATATAATTTACATCTATGGTATATATATATAGTATTTACATCTATTGTATACTTATATTGCATATATGTATACTTATTGTGTATATATATAATATGTATATAAATAATATGTATATATTGTATATATAATATATGAATATTCTATACATGTATATTGTATTTACAGTATCTATCATATACTGTAAATATGTATACTACATATAGATATATTCATGTAGAATATTTCTATGTATGATAATTATTTATATGTGTACATATTTATATATTATATATATATGTGTGTGTGAAGAGCGTAGCATCAAGAGTCTGTTAGAAGGTACATGAAGAAGTGAAGAGCGTAGAATCAAGAGAAAGTTAGAAGGTGCTTGAAGAAGTGAAGAGCGTAGCATCAAGAGCGTGTTAGAAGGTACTTGAAGAAGTGAAGAGCGTAGCATCAAGAGCGTGTTAGAAGGTACATGAAGAAGTGAAGAGCGTAGCATCAAGAGCGTGTTAGAAGGTACTTGAAGAAGTGAAGAGCGTAGCATCAACAGCGTAGCATCAAGAGCGTGTTAGAAGGTACTTGAAGAAGTGAAGAGCGTAGCATCAACAGCGTAGCATCAAGAGCGTGTTAGAAGGTACTTGAAGAAGTGAAGAGCGTAGCATCAACAGCGTAGCATCAAGAGCGTGTTAGAAGGTACTTGAAGAAGTGAAGAGCGTAGCATCAACAGCGTAGCATCAAGAGCGTGTTAGAAGGTACTTGAAGAAGTGAAGATGGTAGCATTCAGAGCGTGTTGGAAGCCGTTTGAACCAGACTCTATTACCCAACCCACCCCACCCCATCACACAGACACGAAAGCACACAAAAGCTGGCGGCGTTCTACAAGCCGCCAGCCAACTACATATGCATAACATATATATATATATATGCATTATACATGCATACAAAATACATATATACATATATATTTATGTATCTATATTATACAAATAATATAGAATATATCTGTAGATTATACATGTCTTATTTATGTAAACGATATATAGATATGTGTAAATAAATAATATTATATGTGTAAATAAATAATACGTATGCATATGTACAATATATATATATATACATACAATATTCATATTTATACATATATATATATACACATACATATATGTATACTCTACATATATACAATATGTCTATATATATATATAGATACACTATACATATATACAATGTGTAAATATATGTATATTGTACCTATATATATATTATTCATATAGACCTTATTCATATAGACAAACTATCTTTACATATATATATCTGTGTATTCATCATATGTATATATATATATATTGATGTATTTAATTATCTGTTTGTTTACTTACATATTGTTCATCATGTATTACAAGAACACAGCTAGAAGTTGCGGAGCCCACACACCTCCTGGCCTCCCTGGCCTTCAGAATCATTCATTTTCATCAGGCCATCAGACCCTTGTAGAGACCCTCGCAAATGTTTCTTTCATGTGGGGGTTTCCATAACTAGGGAATCCAGAAAAATGTGCTAAGGAGAGAATCACAGTGAAACTTTCGACAATGGATGGTATATTTTATGGAAACCCCAAAATAACATGGCTGATTTAGGGTAACCCCATGTCGATCATGGAAACCTCCGTGTCAATTCATGTCGTACGGCGCAGCTCGAGTTCCGCGTCCTGGGGTTTGTCTGCGGCCAGGTGCAGTGCTGTGCGACCTTGATGATCGGTGGCTTTTAGATTGGCCTGTCCGCTGTGGAAATTTGAACGTTGATATGTTTTTCTTAGATCTGTTTGGATACTCTATCTACTGCGTGTTTCCAGCATCGCTTCTCTTCCCGAACCGTCAGAAACCACTAGCTTGAAAAAACACATGAAACGCAATGTCAAGCACAGTGCATCCATGATTGGACCGAAGCTCAAGTTGGTCATGTGGAAGGAAAGCAAAGGAGAAAAAACACACTGAAAATCGAAGGCTCCCGATGGTTTCATCAAATATAAAAATCCTCCCTGTGATTCGGGAGCCTGATTTATGATTGCATCCCAGTGCAGGTTGAAAAATTGTGAAACCCAGAAACTGATCTGCCACTATCCACTACATGATATATAATTGCATAATATGGTAAGATCATGGAGAATCCATTAGACTGTCTCATTAGACTCTGTTGATGTTGGCCTTGTCATGCCCCCCTCGTGCCTGATAGTCCAACAAGACCTTTACAACTTCGCCGTGCAGCGCAGTCACTGCCAGGTGCAGAGATGTTTGGCCATGTTCATCTTTGGCTTCCAAATCGGCCTGTAGCGTATCGCATAGACTTGAGGCCCAGGGGGGGGTGAACGAAAGCTAAATGGCAAGTGAATGTGGAACTAGGTGAGGCGAAGTCGCAAGCATGCAATAGACGAGAGGGATCCAAATGGAAGGACGCAAGAGTGTGTCGCAGAAGAAGTGGAAGTTTCAAGTTGCAGAGTCATAAGATGTAAAGCATGGGTAGTGGAAAAAGTGAGAAGATGGTGTAGTTTGCAACATGTGGACAAAAGACGATGGAGACGTTATGATAAAGTTTGGGCCTCATCGAAAATGATAATTTTCCATGGGGCTCAAAGCGACACAGTGTGGACCTGAGTTAGAAAGAACGCTCTGGAGCCTAAACATGCGAACAACATGCAGGCGGCCGTTAGAAGTCGGAAAACATCAGAACCAAAGAAGATGGTGCCGCTAGAAAGTACGGAACATGTGACGGTATGGAGGCTAAATTCTGGTGAGGCGTCGTGTGCACGTTGCAAGTCGGAAAACAGCAGAAGAAAAGAATGTGTGGAGCAAAGAAGATGGTGACTCTATTATAAAGTTTGGGCCCCAGTGAAAATTATAATTCTCCATGGGGCTCAATCGAGACAGTCCTGATCTGAGGTAGAAAGAAGGGTATGGAGCCTAAAGTCTGGGGAGGCATCGTGCGCATGCGAACAACATGTAGGCGGCCATTGCATGTCGGAAAACAGGAGAAGCAAAGAAGATAGTGCCTCCAGAAAGTTTGGAACATGTGAACCAAAGAAGATGGTGATTGTATTATAGAGTTTGGGCCCCATCGAAAATTACAACTTCCGATGGGCTCAAATCGACGCAGCTTTGATCCGAATCAAAAAGAAGGATATCGAGGAGAGTGTTTTGGTGAGGCATCGTTGTATCCGGAGAACATGTACGCGTCTATGGAGGTCGTAAAACATCGAAATGAAAGAAGAAGGTTCCCCGTAGAAAGTTTGGGCCCTAGCTAAAAGTAGAACTGTTCATGGGACTTACTGTAAATTGGTTGACTTGAAGCATAAAGAATTCGATGGATGCTGTTCGTGCCCTGCATCACATCCCAACAAGCGATTTGCTTGCATTGGGCTGCATAGTTATTTATATACATATATATATATACATATAATATGTATATACATATGCAAGTATGTGTATATATATATATATATCATGTGTATGTATATATATCATGTGTATGTATATATATATAATACATTACTATGCATGTATGTGTATATATATATATATAAATACAATTCTGTAAATATACATATATAAGTATGTATTATATATATACAACTATGTATATATATACAAGTGGTGGAACATGTTTCTGCAAATCCCATTGTAGTGGGAGAAACTGAAAACTCAACCAAACCTAATGAGAGAGGATGACTGCATAGATATTTTTGTTGACAACTTTCTTTTTATGGCTGAGCAGCTGCGGGATGTGTCGGCGGACATCAAATGGACAGGGAAAACAAAACAACAATTGGACGGCCCTGGCAGGATTCGAGCCCGTGACCATCTGCTTCCGAGACTGCTCCAAAATGCTCCGGGAGCTTTGGGGGGGGGGTGGTTCAGTGAAAAAATCACTGAGTTGGACTCAGACCTGCCCCTCCCCTTGCTGAAGCAAAAGTTACTCAGCTAGCTACCGCTAGCTTTCGTGAAGAGAGATCATCTCAGTTGACGCAACATCAGCTGGGCCATACCATGGGGATCCTTCTCAGCTGACCAATCTCAACCTTCATGATCCAATGGCATCCAACAACCCTGGAAAGCTGAGAAAATGGCAATAACCTCCACCAGAAAGGAACTACTTTGCAAAGTATACCAACATCTAGAAACACTGATCAAAGTCCGAAGTTTTCCAACAGAAACATGGTCTCCTAGGCATGGCCGGGCCCTGGCAGTGTCAGCGGGCCTGACCCTCCAGAAGGGCTCTAAGCACATCTTGTAGACCATGCTTGGCAGCGTGGTGAAGCTCACGGCATTCTGCATCAGCTGCTTCCTTGACTCGACATGAACTAAACCTCAACAGCCTAGCGACCCACAGGAGGCAACGCAAACCAACGGCAGTTCCACCTCCTTTGACATTCAATGCATTTGTCTGGCAGAAATTTCGCAGCACCTTGGAGCCAGCATTTGCAAATTACCTATTCACGTAGTGCTGTAGGATTGTATAAATATGGTCCTGGGGGGTATCAGTGTACACAACATGCGCTTTCTGAAGATGTCGAATATAGGTTGAAGCACAACCGTGGCGTGCACACAGTTTCATTGAATGTTATCATTGTGCTGGTTTAGGATTTTTTCAGGGTCGGTTTAATGTCTACTGAGGGTTGAATAGGGTGAATTTGGGGTTGGTTCACCATTTACCTAACGGTTGGTCTTAGGTTCGATTAGTTTTACCAGTAGTACCGCACAAGGCGGTGGCGGAAGTTTCAAAAATAGGAAAACTATAGGAGAGATTGGTTGTTGTGAATCAGAGATGGCAGAGCGAAGCCACTGCTGGACTGAAAGGCGATTGATCTCTCTCACTCTTGTCTACCTGTCTATCTATCTGTCTAGGTGTCTACCTGTCTATCTTTGGTGCAGTGTCATTCAGTGTAATGTAGTGTAATGTAGTGGAGTGCAGTGGAGTGTAGTTGTAGCTGTAGGTGTAGTGTAGTGGAGTAGTGGAGTGGAGTGTAGTGTAATGTCGTCAAGTGTAGTGGAAGGTAGTGTAGTGTAGTGTAACGTAGTGTAGTGTAGTGGAGTCTAGTGTAGTGTAATGTAGTGTAGTGTAGTGTAATTTAGTGTAGTGGAGTGTAGTGGAGTGTAGTGGAGTGTAGTGGAGTGTAGTGGAGTGTAGTTGTGTAGTTGTGTAGTTTTAGTTGTAGTGTTGTGGAGTGTAGTGTAGTGTAAGGTCGTGTAGTGTAGTGCAATTTAGTGTAGTGGAGTGTAGTGGAGTGTAGTTGTGTAGGTGTAGTGTAATTTAGTGTAGTGGAGTGTAGTGTAGTGTAACGTAGTGAAGTGTAGTGTAGTGGAGTGTAGTGGAGTGTAGTTGTGTAGTTGTAGTTGTAGTGGAGTGTAGTGGAGTGTAGTGGAGTGGAGTGTAGTTGTGTAGTTGTAGCTGTAGTGTAGTTGTAGTGTCGTGGAGTGTAGTGTAGTGTAATGTAGTGTAGTGTAGCGTAGTGGAGTGTAGTGTAGTGTAATGTAGGGTAGTGGAGTGTAGTGGAGTGTAGTGTAGTGTCATGTAGTGTAGTGTAATTTAGTGTAGTGGAGTGTAGTGGACTGTAGTTGTGTAGTTGTAGTTGTAACCTGTAGTGTTGCGAAGTGTAGTGTAATGTAATGTAGTGTAATGTAGTGTAGTGCAGCGTAGTGTAGTGTAATGTAATGTAGTCGAGTGAAGCAAAGCAACATCTGAACCGCCAAAAGTGGTCCGAAACCCTGGTGCTTTTAACATTTTGACTTGGAAATGTGCTTCGCGCCACAACGGCGTGCACTTTTTCGACATCTGAACATCCAAAAGTGGCGCGTACATGTAGTGTTTTGTACATTTTGACTTCGAAATGTGCTTCGCGCCACAGCGGCGTGCACTTTTTCGACATCGCAACTCCAAAAAGTGGTCCGCGCCCCTGGTGCTTTGTACATTTTGACTTGGAAATGTGCTTCGCGCCACAACGGCGTGCACTTTTTCGACATCTCAACTTCCAAAAGTGGTCCGCCCCTGGTGTGTTTTGTCCATTTTGACTTGGAAATGTGCTTCGCGCCACAACAGCGTGCAACTTTTCATCTCTCACCTGGCCAGCTGGCTCCGCACCTGCCGCTTTAGCGAGCCTACTTTTCGACCCTCCGGAGCCACAAATCATTGGAAAAACACAGTGAATCGCGACTTTCCTACCTTTTCGCGCACCTGCATCTTCTTTCTGCTGACTCTTTCTCTTCTCTGATCTTCTCTCTTCTGATCTTTCTCTTCTCTCTGCCTCTTCCCTGCTCTGCTTTTCATCTGTCCATATTGTCGGAAGTTTGACTTCTGAACTTCCTTCGATTAAGGGTTAATTTAAGACTTATTTAGGGTTGGTTTAGGGTTTGATTGTACAATCAAAGTCGGTTTAAGGTTTGTCTGAGGTTGGTTTAAAGTTTATTCAGGATTGGTTTTGGGTCTGAGGGTTGGAAGAAAAGGTTCATTTAGAGTTGGTTCACAATTTATCTACAGTTGATTTACGGTTGATCGGTTGGATGAGTTTTTTTAAGCATGCAGCATAGGCACACGAAACCATCGAGACAAACCCGTTCTTGTTTGGAGCAAATGCTACTAGTATAGCCGAAGAACAACAATGATCGGGCGATCCCTTCAATACAAATACTGACAATCTTCAGCGCTCTTCACCCAAGAAGAATCTTAAAAGACCTTGTTGCATAGGTTTGCATTATACTAGTGGGTGCATTGCATCCACATCTCAGCCCAGAGTCTCTCAACGTTTTGGGAACGTTGTCTGCTTTGAAATCCAGCAGACTTAGTTCCAACGTCAGCTGGATGTGACCAGTCAAACCCGAGTCCCGAGTTTTCATGGCAGAAATTGGTTGTTCTGTAGTTCCGTATAGTTCTTCCATAAATTCACCCTTCTTGTTTGTCCTGTCAATCAGCCAAAACTCATGTTTTTTCGTGATGATTCACATGCACAAGCATTAAGGGCATTAGAGGAGGTCAGAAAGCCTTCGCAAGACCAAGTTGCACTGCCTCCCCTTCAGGACGCGGGGGTGCCATCACTGGTGGCTTCATGGCTTCGGTGTCCTACGCCGCCACATGGCAACTGGTTCTGAAACCCACCGCAAACCCCAGTTGTGTTTTCTTGCCTTGTATCACTTGTATCTAATATATGTGAAACAATGTTCAAACATGAATTTTCTGGCATCAAATTTTCTGGAATATGTTCTTGTATTCTATCTGTCATTCTATTTCGCACATTTTCTGACATTTGATCTGACATATATTCTGACATTTCTATCTGGCATTCAATCTGTCATATATTCTCACAGTCTTTCTGGAATGCGATCTGGCAGTCCATCTGACATTCTATCTTGCATTTGTTGTTTCGCATTTTATTTGCCATTCCATCTTACATTCTATCCGGCATCGTTTCTGAGATTAAGAACGCAACAAAAATTGGACCACGTCAATTATGTTCTCCACCTTTTAAACCCCAGACCGATAGCCCAAACATCAACCAAACCTAAACAATTCCTAGACAAGTCCTAGCCTCATCAGAACAACATGGACAAACATGGACAACCTCCTCAGTGAAAGTTAGAACCTCCAAATCCGTTCAGTCAACATTGGACAACGCAAGAAACAACATCAACAGCAAGGAAAATACATTGAACCTCAACCAAATAGCAGACCAACAGCAGCATGCTGCATACCATCAAACAGGCCCAGAACCATACATTTTTCTTCTTGGCGGGGGCTCGCATAAAAAAGCAAACTACCCCTAACTCTTGTGACCATTTTTTACTTTCTTTGTCTGATCCACACCGTGGCAAAAACTCTCATATATTCTGACGTTTTATCTGACAAATATTCTTACATTCTATCAAACACATTTTCTGACATACCATCAGGCATTCTACCTGACATATAGTCACACATAAAATCCGGCATTTGAAACTGCATTTGATCCGGCATTCTAGCTGACATTCTTTCTGGCATTCTTTCTGGTGCATTTTCTGACAATCAATCTGACATGCAACATTTTATCTGGCATTATCTGGCAGTGCATTTGGCTGGCATTCTGTGAGGGCGGGCCCAGAGCTGGTGAGTTCGCACGCTGTTCGTTAGTCCTTGGTCCGGTCGCGTGCAAAGAGTGTGGAAACTCGGTGGCAAGCTTGCCATAGTGCTCATGTCCAGTACGGACGCTGGCTGGGTGCAGCAGGTGCGGGAAATGCCATGTCAGGTGGGGAACAAACATGAGAGAAGTAAGCGCAGGATTGCTTCTGTTTTTTGGCGCATATAATGGTTGGAGGGTCAACTTGTAAAAGCCGAGAGCACGGAACACTATGATTTTGGCCCTTGGGTGGAACTCATGTCGCATCACCACCTACCCCCACATCGTGGGCAACTGCTGCATCCAGGTCCTGCTCAAGGTCATTGTCCAACGCACCTGGAAGACCATGGGACCCTACCGTGCTCCTGTAGCGCAGAGCGTCGTCTCAAACCTCACCTTTTGCCCAGAGAGTTGCAACCAGAAAAAATAAATGTAAACAGTGTAAACAACCAGTAAGATTATACAAGATGTACCATGTGGATGTCGGGTTGTGTGACTTGTGGTCACCTTTCAAATGTTGTAACCTTGTAAACCTGGACTCGCCAACGAACACACACATAGTCAGTACCTGATACCAGGCAATCATCAAAGTTCATCAAAATTTTCATCTTTGAGAAATTTGGTTTTCCATGGTTTTCCCATTTCCAATGGGTCTTCCCATGTTTTCTATTGTTTCTCATGGTTCCCATGCCTTCCGCCACTCCTTGTCTCACCTCCCATCAGCTCTTCGGCCTCAATTGAAACCCAAAAAATTGCACGGATACTGTATTTTGTTTGTTTTGGATTCATCACGCATTGGGCATTGGACTAAATATCTATCCATCTATCTATCTATCCATCCATCCATCTATCTAACTATCTATTTATTTGTCTATTTATATAAATATAACATTATATAAAATATAGTATAACAGTATAATATAATGTAATACGATTTAATATAATATAATAAAATAAAATAAAGTAAAATATAATATAATATAATATAATATAATATGATATAATATGATATAATATATTAGTATAACGTAATATGATTTAATATAATAAAATGTAATGTGATTTAATATAATATAATACAATGTAATATAATAAAATAAAATAAAATATAATATAATATAACAGAATAAAATACAATACAATACAATATAACATAATGAAATATAATAAAATATAATATAATATAATATAATGTAATATGATTTAATATAATATAATACAATGTAATATAATGAAATAAAATATAATATAATTTAATTTAATATAATATAATGTAATATAACATAATGAAATATTTCATATTATATATATATAGTGTGTGTTCCTGCTAGCTCACGTTCTAGGCCCGGTTGTATGAGGTCATATCCATTGTGTGGTAAAATTCGATACTTAGCCGCAGCCCAAAGCAACCCGGTTTACCCAGTCTACTGCCTTGGGGCCGCTGCAAGAGGATTCCGTGATTTGAGCCAGAATGACTATTGCTATAGCCTTTAGGACACACTGGAGAAGGATCTGTCACCCTGTACAAAGACAAGTGGTACCAGCGGGTCCAACCAAAGTACAGATAATATACAGATCACAGGCACCCCCCTTTAAACAACCTACACGTACATATCCAAATCAACCGGGCAGCAAAAGGTTGTGATATATGTGGGGAGTACCACAAACACCCTACTCACCACCTGCATAGCCACATAAGGTGGAGCCAGGGGAAGGTGGTGGCGGTGGAGGGAAGAGAAAGAACGTATGACAGCTTAAAGCAAAAACGGCAACGGACCAATGAATTTCCGGGGTCCAACACCTATGTACAAGTACAAACCACGTTCACATTACGGTTTCCGTTGCTTCAAGTTTCATAATGGATTAACATGCTTACATAGATATGGTGCAAGTGCAGCAGCAGGGTTCAACCCTTTTTATCGTGGTGCCATCACGGATCTGTCACCCTGTACAAAGACAAGTGGTACCAGCGGGTCCAACCAAAGTACAGATAATATACAGATCACAGGCACCCCGATTTAAACAACCTACACGTACATATCCAAATCAACCGGGCAGCAAAAGGTTGTGATATATGTGGGGAGTACCAGAAACACCCTACTCACCACCTGCATAGCCACATAAGGTGGAGCCAGGGGAAGGTGGTGGCGGTGGAGGGAAGAGAAAGAACGTATGACAGCTTAAAGCAAAAACGGCAACGGACCAATGAATTTCCGGGGTCCAACACCTATGTACAAGTACAAACCACGTTCACATTACGGTTTCCGTTGCTTCAAGTTTCATAATGGATTAACATGCTTACATAGATATGGTGCAAGTGCAGCAGCAGGGTTCAACCCTTTTTATCGTGGTGCCATCACGGATTTGTCACCCTGTACAAAGACAAGTGGTACCAGCGGGTCCAACCAAAGTACAGATAATATACAGATCACAGGCACCCCCCTTTAAACAACCTACACGTACATATCCAAATCAACCGGGCAGCAAAAGGTTGTGATATATGTGGGGAGTACCAGAAACACCCTACTCACCACCTGCGTAGCCACATAAGGTGGAGCCAGGGGAAGGTGGTGGCGGTGGAGGGAAGAGAAAGAACGTATGACAGCTTAAAGCAAAAACGGCAACGGACCAATGAACCACGTTCACATTACGGTTTCCGTTGCTTCAAGTTTCATAATGGATTAACATGCTTACATAGATATGGTGCAAGTGCAGCAGCAGGGTTCAACCCTTTTTATCGTGGTGCCATCACGGATCTGTCACCCTGTACAAAGACAAGTGGTACCAGCGGGTCCAACCAAAGTACAGATAATATACAGATCACAGGCACCCCGATTTAAACAACCTACACGTACATATCCAAATCAACCGGGCAGCAAAAGGTTGTGATATATGTGGGGAGTACCAGAAACACCCTACTCACCACCTGCATAGCCACATAAGGTGGAGCCAGGGGAAGGTGGTGGCGGTGGAGGGAAGAGAAAGAACGTATGATAGCTTAAAGCAAAAACGGCAACGGACCAATGAATTTCCGGGTCCAACACCTATGTACAAGTACAAAACCACGTTCACATTACGGTTTCCGTTGCTTCAAGTTTCATAATGGATTAACATGCTTACATAGATATGGTGCAAGTGCAGCAGCAGGGTTCAACCCTTTTTATCGTGGTGCCATCACGGATCTGTCACCCTGTACAAAGACAAGTGGTACCAGCGGGTCCAACCAAAGTACAGATAATATACAGATCACAGGCACCCCGATTTAAACAACCTACACGTACATACCCAAATCAACCGGGTAGCAAAAGGTTGTGATATTTGTGGGGAGTACCAGAAACACCAAAAAAGGATCGAAAATCGACCAGCCGGAGAAAACTCCCCAACAAACGATCGATTGATGAACCCTGAGTCTGCGGACTGCTGCGGTCACCATTTTCACGCCTATGCCAAACTTATCAGGCCACCCTCGGCCAGTCTGTGTGGTGAAAACTGGAGCTAGATCAAGCAGCGTCTGCCACCGCACCTGACACTGATTGGACAATGACAAGGGTTCATGCAGGAAGAGGCTGCTTGAACCGACTGAAAGCATCGGCAATGTCATTGAGGTGACCTGGAATGTGCGTAATCTTTGGGAAGATATGGGCCCGACACATGAACGCGAAGAATGGAGCTAATAATACACATGCAACTGCACACGTCATCGACAGCCCTTTCGCAGATGCAGCGTCTGCCGCACGGTTGTCAATGCCTTGAGTACATGATACTGCACCTCTGCAACGGGGCAAGGCCGCTTCAATACAATATGTCAACGCAAATTGAGCCAATAGCTCCCAAGCAGCGATGTGTTTTTGCATGTCTTGGCCCACCCAGTTCCAGTTGGCTGATGCTTCTTCCAGGGTAATTTGGAATTGGAACCACACGCAGGAGCCATTTGGGAAAAAAACTACACCACCCAGACCAGCCACTGTAGAAGTTGCCATTGCATCTGCAGTGGCAGACATCTCAAGGTGAATGGGTGGCGACATAGACAACGAAAAGGAGGTAGATGTCAACAGCCGTGCAGCTGCTTGAACACGATATGGTCCATGCCGTTCATGGTAACCGCAAGGCGATGCAGAGCTTTATAAAGCGGGATGAGTAGTGGTCGAAGATAATGCCAGGCTGATGTAAGCCAAAGTAGGCGACCAACCAAAGACTGCAATTCTTTGACAGGAACCTTTTGCAGACTTGACACGCTGCGTATCTGACTCAAGATTTTACTGACTTTGGCCTCTGGACCGAGATGGACCATGAGGCGACAGAAATGCACCAATCCACCTCCATAGAAAGTGATGCCTTGTGCCATGACAGCGGAACCCCCAGGATGAGGAATAGGACGACAGGAGTGAGGCCCAAACAGGCGCTGACACCCTGTCAATCATTCCATGTGAGAAGGTCATCCACATGTTGCCACAAAACGTGGCCGCAAGAAAGGATAGAGTGTCCTGTACGGACCATGAGGCCAGCCAACCGTCCCCAATACCAGCCACTCGCGCGTGCACCAAAATTCAATGTCACGCACCGGTATAGCTTGCCATTAGCATGAAAGCAAAGCATGCCCCCATCCCTTGGGTCAATGAGTATCCTTCGATGCGCTTTAGCAACGTCCAGGGTCAATTGAGTCATCTGCTGTTGAACCAGTTCCACAGGGGCACACGCCATGACATCTGATATCCTTGGCAAGATCATATGATTCGGGATGATGGTGTTGGCCGTGACATTGCTGATGGAACTATCGACAGCCAGGTGTGGTGACCGTCCCTCAGCAATGACAACGCCAAGCTTGCCAACCGCAGTCCTGTCGTATCGGTCTTGAAGCTCCTTCAAACCCCCTGGTACCAGCTCTATCAAACCAGCTTGGAGTTCTTCCTTGATAAGCTGAGCAACAATGTCTGGGTGATCACGTGCGCTCTTCCAAGAGTCCATGCATGCCACTAATGGCTCCGGGTGGGGCACTGTACCTTCATGAACTGGCCAGGCAGGAGATGGGGTCAGATCGTCGTTGACACCCAATGGTACCCCCTTAACCAAGTCCAGCGTGGATCACCAAGAGATGATGCCAGCTGATACCAAACATGGAGCCACTAAATGGCTGTCCTGGTGGCACATGCAGCAAATGGTCACCTGGAGGGCACCCCGGTGTTTCGAGCAGGTCTGCAACATATGGAGCCAGTTCGTCTTTGGAAAGCGGAGGCTCCTTGCATCCCGACTGGAGCGCTGCCACCACCTTCAAACACTGCTTTGTGTCACTGAGTCGCTTGAACCATCGCGAACAAAGACTCTCCAAGGGATCCTTGGGAAGGCGTGCCATGTCGAAAGCTGAACTCGGTAGACCTCCACCATCTTCAATGCATTGATGTGGAGTCGGCCGCTGAAGCTTGGTTGGCAAAATGGTTGTCCAACTCTCCAATGGCAGTGCCACATTTCCTGTGGACAAATAAGGGGCAATGATTTCAGCGAATGCCTGAGCCAGAGCTGGCGGATATTCAGCAGTGAGTCGGCTGAAGAACGTGCCATCTGCCATGCGGACCCTGCAATGCTCATCATGATTGTGCGGGCAAGATTTTGC